CAGCGACAATAAAGACGAATGTAATCGAAAGTTTTACTGTCACAGTAAAAATATTCTTTTAGAGTTATAGGCACTTTAAGTACACAGGGGTGGTTGTAAATGTCATGCTTTTAATGATCTTCTCCATCATTTCTGAGCCTTGTAGCTTCATCAGTACAGCAGGTAAACATGTGAAACGCTCCGGGCTGAAAAACACATTTGAGTTCAGATAAAGAAGGCAACCAGATTAGGTTTACATCCATCCAGGTGTCACAGTCTGGACGCTAAATCTGGTTTTTGTTCATGTTGTCTGACACAGAGTCATAAAAATGAGAACAGAAGAAAACTGTACAAAGTGCATTCTGGGTAAACTTTCCAGGCGCATATCGGCATGTGTGATGGTAGTTGTCAGATCTAGACAATGAAAGGACCATTTGTACACACATTTCACACCAGGATCACCTTCTAGACGTGATTCCTTCTGCAGCAAAACCATTTCCTAATATTTGGTTGCAGTGTTTATCAGAGCTCAAATGTGTTTTTAATGCCATGTGTCTACCTCCTGTACCGATGAAGTTATGAGGCTCAGAAATTATATTTAAAAAAGTCCATTAAAAGCATGTGGATCCACCTGTATGCACTCCAAGGGCCTGTAACTTTGAAAAAAAAAAAAAATCATAGCAGGAAGGTAAAACTTTGCACGGCTTCATTAAATGTGCTAAAGTTATTGTAGATTTTTTGAAATCATCTGTGGGTTCTTTTTTTTTTTTTTAAATACATGTACCTCCTGATTATTTACTCTGAGCTGTTTGGTCTAAAAATAGCGAGAACTGTTCCTCACAGTTTCACAGAGTCCAGTACGTCCTCAGACGTGTTTATTTGACCAACAGTCCAAAACCAAACAGACCCAGCTGACTCCTACCAAACTGAACACGGAGAAACTGACAGCAGAGAATAAATGACATCTTCTCTCTGTTAAGTGACTGATACGATGAACTGATGATCAATAACGGTTAAAGATTGTCTAACCTAAAGACTTAAAGGACTGAATATCTCTGTTTTGGACTGTTGCTCTGATCAAACCTCTGGAACACAAACTGAATCTACGCATGAACAGAAGCAACAAAGACTTCAAAAGCAGAAACAGCTCTAGTTTGTTGGTTTCTGAATGTTTTTCAGGTTTTCTTCAGCGGCAGCAGGCTGAACCTCTCATATCTGCGGCTTCAGAAGGCATTTAAGTAATACCAGCGTGGGCTTTGGGAAACTGTGAAGAACATTTGATTTACGCTATTTTTGGAAGTTATATGGAACAAACAATTCCTAAATTATTGAAAAACTGCCCTGAAGATTATTCAACAATGAGAGTAAACATCAGAATCTGAAATGTGAAATGAATAATCAGCTAGAGACAAACAGGAGACGCAGCAGTACAAATACTACACACAGCAGCAGTACTAGTACTACA